CCCAGCAATTTGTGTTTCAACAAACCCTCCAGGTGATTCTGATGCCCACTAAAGTCTGAGGACCAGTACTCTAAAGTTACAGAAAACATCATGGATAGAAGAATGTATTAAATACCTCGATGAGAATGCAATCAGATAAAACAGTGTGGGAAATTCTATGCAACCAATTCTCCATTTCTTCAACAAATAAGTAGCATGAAGGGAAAAAAAAAAAGGAAAAGTATGAAAGGTTAAAAGAGAGTTAAGAGACATAACAAAATCAGTGTGTAGACCTCATCTGAATCCTGTTTCAACCACATCAACTGTAAAAAGGTGTTTTGAGACAATTAGGAAAGGTTGAACGTGATATTAAGGGATTATTATTTGTATTATTGTGTATGAACATTATAATATGGTTATGATTTTTTACTGAAGTATAATTGATGTACAATATTATATGTTACAGGTATATAATATAATGATTCACAATTTTTAAAGGTTATACTCCATTTATAGTTATTACGAAATATTGGCTATGGGGGGAGGGTGTAGCTCACGTGGTAGAGTGCATGCTTATCATGCACAAGGTCCTGAGTTCAATCCCCAGTACCTCCTCTAAAAATAAATAAATAAGGAAACCTATCTCCCCCAAAAATAAGTAAATAAAATTTTAAAATTAAAAAATATATATATTGGCTATATTCCCCATAATATACAATATAAAACCTACATGATTAAAAATAGGAATTTGTTATACTCTTCTTTCCACTGTTCTGTTCTATTGAAATTTTCCATAGAAAAAAGTAAAAACAAAACCTGTGGACCTTTTAGCCAGTAATTACCATTTTAGAAATTTGCCTTAAGGAAATATTCAGTCTCAGAAAAGGTTTATTTGTTAAGTTCTTCATTACAGCATTATATATACTATAAACTATTAGAAACAACTCAAATGTCCAAAAAATAAGAAAAAGGTATACTAAATTATGGGACTTTTATGTAATAGAATATGATGTAGCTATTAGAAATTTTATTTAAAAAAAACAAGATACAAAAACATATAATTCTTTTTTGTAAAAAATAAATATAAGCTTAGAAAAAAAGACTAGAAGGGACTATAGGTATCCCCCACTTTTCCAGAGTTCATTTTACTCCACTTTGCTTTTACAAAAGACCTATATTAGTACCTATTTTGCTAACCAAAAGAAATTTTCACTCTTATGAAAATTTCACTCTTATGAAAAAAGGCAGAAAGCGAAGGCAGAAAGCTAAAGTAGCATTCAGCATTTGTTCTGCAGGAGCTGTTATAGAGGCAGCACACACACACTGGGAAGAAAGAGAGGCACCGCCAGGATCCTTCCCTGGGAACCATATTCAGCATCTCAGCATCAAGCTGCCACAGCTTTGAGCTGTGTCTGCAAGCACCTGTGCTTCATCTCAATTTATTTTGTGCATTGGTTAGCAAAATGTGTCCTAAGAGAACTGCTTGTTCACTTTATGCTATTCAGTTTACAAAAGGTTTCATAGGAACGCTCTATTTTCAAATAAGGTGAGGAAACTTGTACATCAAAATGTTAAGAGTAGTTGTCTCTGAATATTGAAGTTAGGGGCCACAAGGACTTTCTTCTCTGTAACTTACCATGTTTTCTAAATTGTCTATAATGCATACAAACCTTTTCATAATATGAAAATAAAGTTAATGAAAACCAAAGTATTTTTGTCATAATAGTCATAAAATAAAGTACTACACAAAATAAGATAAAATTAAGACTTTCTTTTTTCACAAACCTAAGAATCATCTCAAAAATGAGCTATTACTTGGTGAGAGAGAAAGGAGACTTACACCTACCTAGTGGAGCACACCTTACTTGTAATATTCGTTTGATAGTAATTATATACATTGTTAGATCGTTAATGTTTGTATGTCCATGGGCATATTCATTCTACAATATGCAATAAATATTTATTGAGTGACTACTATTTGCCAACAGTTACCAATATGGCAAAAATCCTTGTCTTTATGAAGGCTGCATTCTAATGGAGGGAGACAGATAATGAAGAAAAAATTTTGTTAATATTTCTGGCATGTCAAATAGTAAGTGCTATGGAGAAAATAAGGCATGGGAGGAAAATAGGGAGTGTTGGGTTGTTGGGGGAGAGGCAGTTACTCAGTTTTCAATAGGGTGGTTAGCAAAAGCCTAACTGAGAAGGTGACTTTTCAGAAAGACCCAAAGAGGTGAGGGAGTGAACCATACTGTGTCTGGGGGAAAAGGATTTCAGGCAGAGGAAACAGCAAGTGCAAATGTCCTAAGACAGAAGCATGCTTGGGGTACAAATCTT